GGGGTATTCCTCTGGCTTTAAGAATGGGTTCGTATTCTTGAAGCTGTTGTCGAAAGCCTTCGTTCGGGAAAATACAGAACCGCTTGTTCTGCACGACTCGAATCGCTTGGGAAGCAGACTATCGATGATAACAAACACAAGGATTAATGAAATGAATGCATAAAATGAGTGCAAATATGAACCAAATTTTGTTTCTCCATAATGTATGCGATGACGAGCGCAGCACTCCTGGAGATGCCGGCGTTTCCGTGCACTAAGACGGCTCCGTTCCGCTCGAAACAGTCGTCTATGAATTTAGTCACCTTTGGATCAATTGATAGACATATAAGACATGAGTGTTGAGTGCATTAGTGGGACAGTGGGCTGACATACGGATGGGAAGTACTGAATGATGTTTTGTGTGGGAGTGTCTGCGATGTCGAGCGTCAAGTAGTGGTACTTCAGGGGAAAGTTGGGTCGAATCCAATGCGCCTCTATCTGCTGGCGGACGCATATGATGTGAGTGACACCCACTCGACACAACTCGTCCTCCTGTCCAACACATCACATGATCACTGCGTTCACGCATACAATCGCTGCAGACATACCTTAGTCTTGAGGGCCGAGGCGTACGGCCCTAACCACAGACGAGGCACTATCTCTTGCATCTGTCGTCTCATCGAATACTCCCATTCCTGCCATCAGTTGGACACAAGACATGAGTCAATACAAGACATGAGACAATACAGTCGTGCAATGAATGAGTGGTTGTGAAGACATACGAAATTTGCCGCATTATCTGCATTGAGATTGGCGTCGTTCATGTCGTCCCCCATCGGCGCCTCGTTTTGGTTCATATCGTCCTCTTTGACGAGTGATAGACACGACTCACCCGATGGCTGCACTCCAAACGGATCCGGCAATTGAGTCATCGATGGCACCAATTGGACCTCAATTTGCAGATTGAGTGACAGTTCGCACAAGAGTTGGATTTATGGATCAAATGCTTTGAATGAATGAATGAAATAAATATCAATGAAATGATGTATTGGTGTCTCCTTTGGTTGCAATAAACGTCTGATTGTTTTGTTGTTATATTTCATAGGATTTTAAATTCATTTCAATTCGAAATTCTTTTCATTCAAATGCTTTCCATAGACACTCACTAACACTCACTTCCCACCCAAACCTAACCCGCGGGATATTATTATCGGGACTGTATTTATTTAACGTAACGTCATAATATTTCACAATATTATCATATATGCTATAAACTCATTGATTTGTATTTTATAGTGAGTTAATGATAACAAATTGAATTATGGCTACAATAATAACTCAAATATATGGGAAATTTGAACGATTGACTTAAGGGTAGGGCTTAGTGAAGGGGTCTGTCTATTATGGGACAGACTATGAATTGAGTGCAATCGGCAGACATAGAGAGCGACACAAATAATGCTGTTTTGGACTTTTCAAAAGTTTATGACATACAGTAGTTATGTTCATAAAGTTTTTAATTGCTTACGATTTAAGTGATGTTTGAACGAAATGTTTAATTCAATGATAATTGAAGTATTGGCTAATGTTTGCAAATGTTGTGTCGATTTGAATGAATATTCTGTGCCTTAATTCACGACATTTTACTCATTCAAAGATTGTTAGACACTAATTATTAATTAGTAATTATTCATTACTAATGATTAAAAACCGTTTATAATTGTGCGGTATAACAATTAGTGTACTGACCAGGGACAGACATAGGCCGTAGAAAATATTG